CGTGAGATTGGTCTCAAGCTACTACGTGCCGCCATCGAGCAAGAATACACGGGTCGTCGCTTCTACAGTGACAAGGTCAAGGGAGAGCTCAGCCTCAACTGGAAGGTCTTCGTCCGCATCGCCCCCGTCCCTGGCATGGGCGAGCCGCCCAAGATCGAGTGGGCCAGGAACCACATCGACACGCTGGGATTGGATCGTGCGAAGCTCAGTGAGATTGCAGCCCGTGTCTTCGCCCGCGAAGAAGACCAGCCCGAATGGTGTCTTTAGCGAGTTGTTCGGCCTGTTGTCAGGTGGCAGGCCCGACTTCAATCTCTGTCCTGTTGTAGCTGGAATGCCCGCCCCCTCTTCCACCACGACCCTCACCTCCGCACGATTAAGTACAACTACCTCTCTTCCCTACTCTCCGACTCCAGCATTGTAGGCATCCAGGAAGCGCGCGGCAGCGAGCTAGAGGTCCGCAACTTTCTCTACCACGCCCACAAAAAAACACCTGGTCTTCAGTTCGTTTTGTCCGCAACGGAACGCTGGTGGGGTCCTCACGTTCTGGCCGCGACGTGCGCTTCCAGGTAATGCCGCGAACGACAGTTTTGAGGTGAATGAGCTTGTTCCTGGTAGGGTGCTCCGAGTTCGGCAATCACTAGGGGGTAGTGGTGCATGGGTTACTCACTACAACATACACAATTTTGGGCTGTCTACGGATCAAAAGCGTACGGTGGTTTTGGCTATCCGACGGGACCTGGGGGAAACTCGGGAGGCACCACACCTACGTGTTTTGATTGTTGCAGGCGACTTTAACATCCCCGCGACGCCGCCCCAGCCTTTAATACCTGAGGAGGCGCAGAACCCAGGTCTTGGCTACGCCGACTGGCGCGGCTCGCAGGACCGCGTGTGGACCAGCCTCTTCTCCTCCCTCACCGAGATTGAGCTCTCCGACCCTAACCGCGTTTCCATCGCCACCTCCTCCACCTCCGTGGTCGACCGCCTCTTTGCATCGCTGCCAGGCTGGGTGGTCACACAAATGCATGCTACGGGTTACACAAAAGGGCAGGTCGAGATTTTGAACCACAGAGGCCTCTCGGATCACGTTGGGATCGCGGTGGGCCTTCGACCTGTGCCCCCGAAAGACCCCAGGCAGCAGCCTATTCCCAAAGCCATCTTCCAGTCTCCCGTGTTCCGACAGTATGTCCAATCCCACCTCGACGTCGTCGACCTCTCCCTCTATGACCCTCCCTACCGACTCCAGATTTACAAAAACCTCCTACGGGACGCGGCCCGATTTACCCGACAGGCGATTTTGACGACAGAACCGACCTCTCGGCTTGCCCAGATTATCCTTCTCCGTTCCATCGCGAGGGTGGTATGGCGGCGGAACGTCCGCCTAGGCTCTATTCTTGTGCAGGCACATGCGCTGGCTGCTGAGCATCTCGACGTCGATGTGCAGAGGCGGACGGTTGCGTTAAAACGACCGACGGAATTCTCAGATCTGCTCGACCGACTGCAGCCAGAGGACCTGGAGGCCGAACGTTCCGATTACCAACAGGCCCTCAGGGCCTCCAATCAAGTGAATACTCAGAAGAAAATCCGGCAGCGTCTCCGACGCCTGGAAACTCGAGCTAAGATCTGGGCCCCGTTCGATCGACGGCTTACTTTGAAGGCTATTGAGGTCAACGGAGTGGCACATGCAGATCCTGGTCGGAAGCAG